TCATCCTTATTTTGTACTTGTTTTGAATGCTCCGTTCTGACAGTTTAGCACATAGTACATAGTTATTTCATATCAGCATCTAGCATAGTAGCCAAGGATCTTTGCCCTTGAGTAGAATTTTACTCTGTTCAATTTCTGTACTACTTCAGTTCTGAAATGTATGCCAGAAATACATTAAACAATTTGATTAGCATTTATCATGTGCGGTTCTGTCTTTCTCAAAATGAAAGTTATATGAACATTTGAATTATATCTTTTAATCTTATGTCTGGTTATTGTGTTTTCATGGATGGGACTAATGTATATCATGTAGAGGGAACAGAAGGGGTGAGTTTGAGGTGTCACTTTAATCTGCAGAGGCTGCACCTCAAGTTTGGTTAACACTGGGAAGAACTCTGACTCTTGCTCTTACTAGGGATCAGTTCCATTATCATCAACCCTTCTTTCTACCCCAAAACTTAAGAGGTTTTCTTTTCCAGTTGTCCTGAACCTACAAAATTGAGTGCACTTCAGTAAAAGCACCAAGTCTCTCAATTTGGCTCACTCATTAGGGAGTATGGTAGACTGTGAATGACATGTTTACTTTGCTTGTAGTAGTTGAATTTGCTAGATAGAAATGTCATATTATTGAGTTTATGCTAATATTGTCCCAGGTAAATATCATTTAATTATCCAGTATGTATGTTGCTGAGCTCCATCAGCAGCTTTTCTCTGTGGAGTGACTAACGTAGATTTCTCCTCACTACTCAGACACTGATTTTTGGGAAAACATGAAACTTCCCCAAACCTAATATATTTGAGATCTTTCTTAAGAAATTGGGTTGAAATAGGCTAAGAAGTTTAAAAGTTCTGGGGAAGGGGGGGATAAAGAAAAGATGGAGAAAATGGGAAGGATAGAGTGACAGACAGGATGCTTAGAATGATTTGGGTTTTCCTGTTGGTGAGATCACTGGCAGGCAAAACTGGATGATGATGATGATGATGATTTACAGAGGTGGATTTAATGTCCTGTGAAAAAAATTCACTCTGACATGTCCTTTTCTTAACTCAGAGCATTCTCCTAGTTTGGACCATTTTACTGAGTATGTTTTGCTACATCTTACTGTTTTAACGCCTAGTTTGTAAAGCTGACTCACATCTCCCTCAAACACTGTCAAGGTCAATATGAAGTGGTGAGATTTCACCTCTCATAAAGTCAGTCCGAAGTAGATGCAGTCTTGCGCCCCACGATGACTTAGGGAATCTGTGTAGAATTTACGAATTTTATTTGATACTGAGAGTCATAATTTTTTTTTTTTTTGGTCGGACTGGGAAGTCCAGAATCTCAAGGCTTCTTTGAATGTAGAAAAGTTGAATGTTTGCAGAAGGAAGAACATAAAATAGCATTATTTCTCTTGTTAACCTCTCCTTCCTCCAGCTAATCTGTTTTACCTCACCTTTATTCCTTTCAGCCAGCATAGCAAGCTGTGCTGTACTCCCTGGGAATTATGCCAGCTCTTGCCTTTACTCACAAAAGGAGCAGGCTTGGCCCAGTCTGCTTTCTCTCAAAGGAAGCTTGGAAGCAAAAATTCATTGCTGAGTAAAGGTATTAAGGAGCAGGGGAAGAGAGCACGTGCATGTAAAGTCCTGTCTACATCCAAAGTGACCATGCGCACATGAGTCCTACTAGTTTCTTCCCCGTCTTCTTCCTCAGCCCTCCCAAGAACTCCTTCTGACGATTTGACCTATCTTAATGTCACATTGAATTATTCTTTTTTTTAAGACCAGGAGAGAAAAATGCAGTTTTGTTTATGTGGCTGAGGAACTCTTAGCCAGCACAGACAGTTGGCATTTGGGATCAGTCTGGGAGGAAGCACTGAGCTGATGGGCTGAGTTGTCTTCCATGGGTGCTCACTCTCCTGAGGAGCACTATCAGCCAACCTGCCTCTTTCAGTAAACAGAGAGCAAACAGTCTCTTCTTCTATACTGTGAGACAACTCTCCTTATACAGAAATGTTCTGTGAAACTAAGGTGAAAAAAACAGGGGAGTTTGTGTTTTGTTTTACTTTTGTTTTAAGCATGGATGTTTTTCTTCTTCCTCTACAATGAAGATTATGGAAATATACTGCCAAGAGTAATAGGGGTAAAGAAGAACAGAGAGACATGGTCTAATAAAGCAGTGAAGTCCCACAAGCACTTGTGTTAAATACTGTGAAAGGACAAGCTGTAAAGACTAATTCCTGACAGGAGTGTTCCTGGAGCAGTAAGTGCTAGGACACACATGGTTTGTTTGTAATAAGGGAATACACCGGAATCATTTCAGGATATACTTATAACTGAGCCGTTAATAAACAAGAATTACAATATAATTAGGCTAGATGTCTTTATGCAACAGTCCTTCCCCTGAATAAACCAACAGCAGCAAAAAAAGCCCTAGTGCAGTGTCAGGGCTGTAGGAGTTGGACTTTAAAATGAGGAGGCAGCTTCAAAAAATCTTCAAGTCAAAACACAAGAATAGAATCAGGGTACTGAAGTAAGTTGTGATGTTTTGAATATTGCTTGTAGGTCTGAAAAGTTTCTTTGTAGAGAGGGTGTTGATCTGTGGAAACACCTCCCCAAGACCCAGAACCTTAGCATATCACCTCCAGTCTCCAGACTCTCTAGATGTGTTTGAAGGTGCCTGCACAGTGCTTTGTTTAGACTTGCTGATTTCTGAAAAACTGAAAGCCCCAATTTTCCTAGCTTCACCTAAATTTGCCTGTATCACCAAACAAGATTGTGAAAAATGTAGAACAAAGACCTTGTAAGGAACATATAAAGGTAAGTTTCTAACAATATGTGGAGATGAAGTTACCAAATGATAATGAAATATAAACTTAATTCTGGATTACAATTAACAAGACTCCTTGGTTACTGGCTGCTCCATGCTTATCTTCTAGAGGTAGATATTCCTCCTGGAGCATTTGCAGAGTCTCTGGACCAGTCAGGGCTGTCTCTCCTGGGCTTGGCCACATGCAGTCTTTTAAAAGAATCCTGTTTCCTTTCAATGTAGACAAAGTATTTGGGGCTTAACTGGAGCCTTGTACCTTTCAATAGTGAAAATACTCCAGGGTGTCTTCTAAACTACACACCTTCCTGTCCTAGCAGACAGGGGTTTTTTGTGGTAGCTTTAAACAGCTTTTCCACATCCATCTGGCACAGTATAAGTCACCAGTGACATACTACATATTATGAAGGCTGTTAATATGCAGCAGGTTTTGGCCTCTGTGCTTTGGTATGGTCTCAGCCATGTGTGGAGACCTTAAGTGATGCACTGCCATTAGAAGTGCCAGACGGTGCCTAGCCCAGACTGCCTTCCTCCTTCTCCTTACCTTGTACAGTTTAGACCTCCTTATGTCAAAGTGACCCACTCATTTTGGTGAGGGTTGAGAAAAGTCATGGTACATTTGGTAATTTTGAAATTATACAATTCTCTTTGTCTTTCATGGTGGATTTCAAAAAAAAAAAAGAGAGAAAGCACTCCTTTTTTTAGGGAGATGAAAGCCCCTCTGACCCTGTGTGCATTATGGGTCTGACTTCTGTGTATTGAAGCAGAAGTGGATTCTTACATACCCATAGATAAATGAGGAAGGAGGAAAAAATGTAAAGATTAGGAAAAATCCAGTTAAAATCCAAGAGGCCACTTTCAGACAAATGGAAGTGAGAAAGTGGAAATACACCCACCCTTTGAAGAAAGATGTGTAAATTATACTAAGTAGAACATCTTCTAGAAGAGCTAATAAGGTGCTAGGAAGAGTTAATAATGGAAGCATATGTCCAAAAAGTGTATATGCAAGCCTATATCTAAGAAGCAAGACTTCACAGAGAATTGGTAGGTTTGGGAGACTTGAGAGAATGAGAACCATCCAGAAGGACCCAGATATTGTGAAGAGAGTATTTGCTTAGTTTTCACCATGCTGAATGTTGGGATGATGTGTACTCTTTGTAGGTGCTTAAAAAAGTGCAGCTATTTCTAGATAGGACATTAAAACAAGCTGGTATGTTCACGAGCAGCGGTTCAGTCAGAGTAATATATTTCCAGAAGAGCTGGAGGAATTTAAAAGTGAAAGCTGTTGCTAAAATTATTTATTGAAATCATGAAGTCTGGGACATGGAAGGGTAGCAAGCATTGTCTTCCAAAGTGATGCTCTCAGATCTGCTGAGAATAATTGGCATCCATCTTGCTCTGGAGTATCTGATACTAGCTGCCTAAATAAAATTGTTAAACTAACTGGGTCACTGATCAGTCTGACAGTTTGTGCATTAAGGAAGAAACAACCCTGAACAATAGTAAGTGGAACATTCCTGTGTTTTGAGTTAATCTTGTTGAATTAATCTTGTTCTTCAGCATGTGGTAGCGGGAACAGTTTATAGAAATGTGCTTTCAGAATGTTGTTTTTATGACTAGCTCTAGAAATCTTAATTCTTTTAATACATCTAAAGCAGAAACCTGTGTAAAATGAACTGGGATTGAGTTTTTGCTTGGTACAGACTGTTAGTAAGGTTCCAGTGAAAGCATCATAAACATAAATTTTGAAAATCACAGCTGACCTTCTGTCTTTTCAGAAGTGAAAGGACATTTTTCTTTCTAGAAACAATAAAAAGTGGAGGCATTATGTTCTGTGTAGAATACTCTATGTGTAAAAACACTGTATGATGGGAAGTTGCCAGTGGCAGATGCAGATTGGTTCAGAAATAATCAAACTTTGATTTAGAAACATGAGCGGATTGCTCTAATGTGTGCTAGGTTTTCCTTTCACATTATGTATCTTTTTGTAAGATTGGTGGAACGGATAAGGTACTCTAAATGCACCTCGTATTTCTGGTAAAACATACTTATCTGTGACTTTTACAGGGAAAATGAGAAGAGAATCTTTATCACAATACTATGACACATTCTAATATTTATTTGAAACTTGGGTTTTAGATATATTTTAAGAGAATGAAAAAGTTTTGTGGGTTTTTTTTTTTTCACTTTATAGCCTCGCTGATGCATGGGAAAATGATATCGGAGTTCATCCTTTAAAGTTTCCAGCAGAAACATGTTTGGAATTACTGCTGATACTGGGTTTGAGTACCACCTCTCTGCCACCTTCACTGCAATGCATGAACTCTTTTCAGGTAAGGATCAGCTGCTATTTCAGTATAAAGGTGTTACTTCTAGGAAAAAAAGATCCCCGGGGCCCATAAACCCTTTCAGAGTAAAGGTTTATCTTCTGTAGTTGTGTGACTCTCCATTATATTAACTATAGGAATGGAGAACTTCTTGTAGTGCTCAGTTTCTTTCAATTGTATTAAATGTAGACCAAGGCAGGAAATGTCATTGGATTTTTAAACAGTGAATCACTGCTTAAATTAAATTACATGTTTAAAGAAATTTCATCAAACTTAGGCTGGAGTAGCTAGAATCATTATATAAATTCTTCTTGGCTTAAAAAAAAAATAAAAAAATCCTCAGCTAAAAATAAATATTTCCACTGGTGAAAACCTGGAAAATTAGGAGTGAAGCATTCACAGTTTTGGCCAATGTTCTTCTGTATGGTACTGCTGAAGTTCTCAGCAGTCATAGAAATTTTCCTAAGAAAACATTGTTGCAGGCATGTTAAATTGTGATTTGTATTTGTCATGTGTCTGAAGATTTATGATTTTTACAAATGAAATACACAGACATCTCAATTCATGGTGATACGACATATCAACTCAACCTTTTTACGATGTTACTGTCTTCCCTTGTAGTTACATAGTCCATCAGTTGTGCATTGATGCAAATCTAAACTAAGCAGCTGTTGAGCAGTAAGCATACCTGAATCTGTGTTTGTTTTGACAGCTATAGAAAAATCATTATCTTAGGAGGACTGAGTGTCCTAAACAGTTTATACCACAAAATCTGGTAGCTTCTATTTGTCCATACTCCCAGTTTGTAGTTAAGGCACATTTAATTAGTGTTCCTGAGTTATGTTTACTGAAAAATAATCTTATTGTAGAAGTTTGGAGCCAGAAAGAATATGGTCATAAACCAAAATCAAATAATTGCTTTTAATAGAGTTACACCAATGTACACCTGCTGAAAACACTCCTAGATGTTAGGAAATAAGTATGCACCTGCATTGTCTGCTCCCTTTGCATCTTGTGTGCTTGAAAACAGGGAATCTGTGTGTGGTGAACTCTCTAGTATGGCAGCAGCCATTGATCGTTTCAACATATTTTAATACCCAAGGTCAGAATTGTTATTGGGTTGTATATTCAGAGGCCATAAAATTGAAGAATCTCCTGGATACTGGCAGAGTGAGATTGCAAAAATTATGTGTTTCAAGGATTGGCTAGTACCTAGTTATCCATGCAGTTGAATAGTCTTATGTTTCCTATTAAGAAGTGAACTTTTGGTTGTCTAACCCCGGAGGATGTATTCCTTGTCCGTTGCATTGCCAGTAATCTGTGGTAAAGTCTTCTCTGCTTTACCCATGATAGGTTAAATAGGAGTCTCTTCTTGTACACTGAGGCTGTATGTCCTGTCTTATTTCTGTGCGTACTCAGTCCCGCTTGTGCGGTTAGGATTTCCTTTGATTTGTATATCTGGGTAGAGATAGGAAGCCATAAATGACTGTCAGCTGATACAGATACAAATTGGTAAACTCAGGAAGGGTTTTTATTTCAGAGTACACCAAACACCAGACTTTTCTTTTTCCTTGTCAGACTCCATGATCGTGCTTGATTGCTCCTGGGTCATTTTAGCTTCGTGAGGCTGTCTCTGGAAATGAACCGTCACCCTAGAAACCCACCATGCACGGCCCAGAAGCAAGTCAGGGGTACAGTTATGTCAACCGTGGGGCAGGAAGGCCCCGTGCATCCCCTCTGACTTTCAAACTCAAATTTTGGTGGAACCACAGAAAGCAAATGTCACAGTGCTTTGCTGAACTGAAGTACTGTGAGGAATGATGACTTCCAGCACTGGTCTGCACAGATCTTAGTTTGCCTGCCTGTGTGCCAAAGTAGGTGACGTGGCAATGCCCAGTCTTGGTCGCAAACATGATCTCAGGCTGAAGATACTATATTTTGAGGAGATTGCCAGTGCCTGTGCTTTCATAGCAACACAAAAGGCAAAAATTCATAGTTTTTGAAAAGCCCAAGTTCTGAAACCTGCTCTCCTAAGACAATGTTGTATTTTCCTAAGTGGGAGGAAAGGAAAATGGCTGGTTTGATAAACTTCTGCGTCCAACTTTCACTCTCCTTGCCAGACAGTCAATATCACCAAGTGTTTGTCCTGGAGGGCAAACACTGTCCAGGAAAATATTGTTTTATTTATTTTTATTCTTTCAAACCTTGTTTAGATCTAAGTTTGTGAATCCATGAAGCAGAAACAAAGCTTGCCCGAGCTTTTCATTGATGCTTTACAATGGGCTGTCAGTCTTACCAGATTTTTTTCTGGCTTGCTTCTTAGTACTCATGTCCACTTTCTGCACAGCAAATATTAGAATTACATGTCCTAGTTTTTCTGTATTTTTCTTGGAAAATCTGGCAAGATCTGCAGAGAGCTTGAATAATGATATTAAATTGTGCTGTTGCCTGAGCATAAGATCCCTCTGCATCCAAAGTAGTGAAGATTGCAAGTCAAACATGGAATAGTAAAAGGGCGCTAATCGAAAACCGCTATTTCATGTGTCTTAATGGAGTAATACCAAAATGACAAAAACTAGTTTCATTTTATTTTGTGGTAGACCTAGACCTGGTGGTAGTCTAGGAAAAAAAAAAAAAAATTTAATTCTGTATTACAATAATCCTTGTATTTGAACTGAAAACAATCACAGAGTTTCCTGTTACCCACACATGGCAGTCTTGTTCAACAGGAGACCAGGCTCTTGCAGCTGAATGCTGGCATCTGAGTGCTGGGGGAGTTAGAAGGGAAATGACCCCAGAAAGTGCCAGAGTTTTCTCCTTTCGTAAGTGTTCCCACTGATGGACGTGTGGTGTAGAGCTAAATGGACCACTAGTTTCCACTGGTGCTTTTCTTTATGTTTTGATACAGTATTTGAAAATGCATCTAACAGACAGCTGTATAAGTAGTGATCTAAAAGTTACAGTTTAACTCCTGATATCATGTCAGTATAGCTTTAAAAAATCCAATTGTTTTTAATTAGGTCGCCAAAAATGATCTCACCCACACCCCTGTGTTGTTTGAGACTGTATTTACCCTGTCTCCCTATTATATTACAATGTTGCAGTGTTGACAAGCCAAAATTTTAGTTGGTATACATATGCATTGGATGATGTTTAGGTTGTAAAAAGCACATGAAGGAAATGTGCTTAGTTGCTAATCATCTCTGTAATAAACTCTGTTCTGCTTTGTGTTCTAGAAGTGTTCTCTGGGACTAGCTTAGCAGACTCTGTCTCTATGCTGAGACATAAATTAAATTTTATTTTCCAATGGTGTGCTACTGCTTAGTAACATAATATTTGAAATCGCTTTTCAATTCCATTTTGACCCTGTGAAGATCTTTCGGTGTGATTTATGTTGCTGGAGGAGCCTGGAAGAGGGGAGCAGCAGCAGACTATGTTACGTGGCTCTCTGCTGAGTTTAAGGTGCTCACTGCAGCCAGCTTTTAAGCTTCCCCAGCTGTTGATCCTAGGTACTGGGTTGTCTTTGGCTCATCTTTCTTTTTACCTGTGCAGTTACATTGACATTGTTCTGGTGGACTGTAGAAAGTTAAATCTTAGGAAGCTTGAGCCCAGAAACTCTGAGGGACCAAAGTGGATAGACTAATTCTTTGCTGGTTGATGGCTGCTCCTGGGTTTACTGTAGAACATGGATTTGCAGCCCTGACTTGCACCTTCCCAGGCTTGTAATCCCTCACCCATGGTAAGGATGTCTCAGATCAAGGGACTAAGATTGACTGAGGCACTTGATATTTATCCTGGAGAAATGCAGAAAGCAGTAAGAAAGGAGAGAGGAGTTCGCTACTAGAAAAGATTAAAATATTTTTTAGCTTGCTTTTGCTCTGAGCGTTGTTTTGCCGCTCTCTCTTCAGGTCCGTTAACACTGTACGGAAAGCTGTGTTACCTTATTACACTCTTGATCTATCTGGCTCTCCACCCACCTGAGCTGTCAGCCCTTCTTTGCTTTAGGAACAGTTGGGCTTGACTTTGTGTATTATTCTTAATACTTGCAAGCACTTGTAGCTAGCACCCACTTGAGTTATCATGTACTTTATCACTGAACTGTTCAGCTGCTACTCCTCAGTGTAGTCTGGGAGGATGTGTTGGTACTTTAGAGCCTGCAACACAAAACAGTTAACACAGGGAGATGCTTTAAAGTGACAAGTAATGTCTGCTGTGTTTTGCTAACCTTATCTTGTCTTTCTCTGAATTCAAGCACAGTGAACAGAAAATGTCCTGGATATTGAATTGTTATGATGATATATGGGGCTGTTCAGCACATTCTCTCTCATAGCTGTTATTGGGGGAAACCAGGCATTTTACTTCGTGTATCAAGGTGCTATTCATAAAGCCACAGACTGTAACAAGAGTTCTCACGGTTAAATAGGTCACAGTTTTATTTTTACTTTCAGATTTGCATGAAATTTAAAGGAGATTGCGATTAAGAACTGCCAAGCAGTTTCAAAATTTCATTTGTAGTAATCCTTCATATTCTTTGGTGCTGCACCCAATGCCGTTGGTAGCTTATCAGCACACTGTCTGGTTAAGTAGAGCCAGTGTTTAAAAGTAAACAAAAAGTCTTCATTCTGTTGTTGCAGTAAGCATTCCTAGAAGTGTCTCTGAAGGAAAAACTCATTTGCAGTTACTTTGCTTCCAAAAAAAGGAGGAAAAAGTTTTACATAGAGCAGCTTGTCAAGTTCTCTATCATTTGAAGTCTTTTATTAAAAAGTGCAGAAAACTTCCTAAAAGCAACAGGTTTAGAGATATAAAGTAACAAGTGCCTCAGAAAACATAAGAATGAACAAATAAAATATTCATTATAGTTTAATGGCTCTAGTACATGAGTATCAAAAGTACTCAAAATACTCATGGAAGGCAAAATACAAAATTACTGTTGTCTTTCAGGTCTATACATGGTCTGAACTAAAATGTGCCTTGATATTCAGTGTTTTTTAATATTGATACTTTTT